GGGGCGAGGGAATCCCAAACGGACAGCCGGAGCCGGGAGAAGGGCAGGGGCGCCGGGATGCAAGAGCACCTTGAGCTCTCGCGGATCCCCCCCCGCCAGGGAGCAACGGAGCCTGCATCCAGGGATGCGGCAGCTGGCCAGGAGCTCACGCGGATCCCTCGCCGCCAGAGTGGCGCCTCGTCGGGGCGCAGCTAACGGCTGCTCAGAGTTTGCGATCTCAGTGCGCAAGGGGGGCCTCGGTGCACCAGGGTTGCGGCAGACGGCCGCCTGGGGCCATGAAAATAAACGCCATCGGGGCTGCGGCTCACAGCTGACAACTCTGGTTGTCCCCGCGGGAGCCATCGTTCCTGAATGGGCTGGCGGGGGAGCAAGGGCCCACAGGCTCGCGAGGCGGGTCGAAAGCCGTCGCGTGGGAAGCCAGCGATACGGCCCCCGACGGCGCGCGCACACTTCCCATGACCCGATGCCGAGGGCAGCCCCAGCCGCCCCCCCCGCCACCCAGAGTTGCGACAGTTCCGACACGACCTTCTGTCTGCCGCCTGGCCCGGGGTCTGCTGGCAGCCAGGGGTGCCCGGACGGGCGCAAGGGATCAAGGTGCCTCCTACAGACAGCCAGTGTTGTGAGGAGTTCCGCATTGTCCTGGCCTGGCGGACCCAGCGTCTTCTTGCGAGGTCTGCTGGCCGCCAGGGGGGCCCGAAAGGGCGTCAGGGAGCAAGGGCGCCTCCATCGGACAGTCGGATTACCCAAACGACCCACTCAGCCCTCTCTGGTCGCTGGCCACACTGACCATGTCGGCCGTTCTGCAGCGTTTGCGCCGCCTAGGCAGCAGGGTGAACGCCTGGCCGGCGTCGTTGTCGGGGAAGAGCATGTGCAGGCCACCGTGCACCAGCGGCTCCAGCGCCCACGCCCAGGCGCCCCCGGGAGAAACGTCGCTGATGTCATAGTGCTCGGAGAGGACAGCTTTGCCCACTTTGAAACGACCGCCGACGGCAGAAATCCAGGATCCCCCTTCGGTCGTCGCCGAGAGGAACGCGTCGATCCGCTCCAGGGTTGCAACATTGCTACCGCGGTCTGTCTGGGCGATCGTCTGCCACGAGGCTGGCCGCTCACAGCGAGCAACACGGGCAGACGAAGCGCGCGACGCCGCCCGGCCCCCATAATCGTCAGACTCCTCCCGGGGTCCGACAGAGTCATCCGTGGCTTCGCAGGGCACGGTGGCTACTGGGGCCGGGACGCCTGGCGAAGCCCTGCAGGCTGAGGCAGGCGGGGCGGTTGGCCGCCAGGCATGGGCCGGGTCGCCTCTGGCAGCTGGGGCAGATCCTCGAGGGGTCGCTGCATTGCGACCTGCGGTGACGAGCCCCTCTCGCTGGCGTTCGTCTTCAGGCCTGGGCCCGTCCGCGGTCACTGGCGCGCCCACACCTGTCGCCGCGAGGCTATCGTCCGATGTGGGAGCGCTGTGGGCCACACTGGGAGCGGGCACGCTGTCGGACACCGCTTCGTCCGAGGCGGATGCCGCCTTCCCCGGCGAGGTCCGGGTTTCCAGAGGGAGAGGGTGGCGGTTCGCTGTCCGCTCGGACGGAATCACTGCCAGGGGAAGGAGGGCGAATTGGCGCGAAGGGGTTTTTGCCGACAAGCTGCCGGATGGCCTCGTCGTCCTGTCTCTGCTTGGCGGGTCCGTAGCTCCCCCGCGAGGAGGCTTCGAGCGCTCCAGGGGCGGCGGCGGGCGGGGCCACAGCGGGGTGTAGTTGGGTCTCGCCTTCAACCGGGTGCGACACCGTCTCCAGACTCTCCAGGTTGCGTGCTCCGTGTCTGCCGTCGGCCAACCCATCGCGAGACCTGCAGCAGCTGACAGCCGCTCCTGGATTTGCGGCACCCTGGCTCTCTTGCATGTGTGGTGGGACTAGGTTCTCTGGCGCCCTCTCTGCAGCCTTCTGAACTGCCGCCGCGATGCCGTCGCCCCTGGTGGGCGACGATCCAGGCGCACCTTCGGCCTCCACCAAAACTCCGACCCAGGGAAGCCGATGGGGGTGAGGAGTTGCAGGAGTGCCTGTTCCAGCCTGCGGCGCGCTCGCAAGGCTGCTTCGGCTAAGGGCTGCTTGTTCCGACGTGACATCCTGGCTGCCTTCTGGCCCAAAGTGTCCAGTTTCCCCTTGTGAGCCTGACGCCATAACCGCTCCGGTCTTCTAGAGGCCTGCTGGCCGCCAGGGGGGCCCGCGAGGGCTAGACGACCCTGGCAATGGGGAAGCAGGGGTGCCTCGTTCGCAACCCGACACAGGGCTGCAAGGGTGCAAGGAAACCTCTCCCGGGCAGCTGGAGTCGAGAAGATGGTTCGGGCACTGAGATGCAAGAGTGCCTTGAGGTCTCGGAGACCGGGCATCAGGGAGCAAGGGCACTTCCTCCTGACCCGTTCCGCTCCCTTCTGGCCTGACGGACCCTGCGTCTTCTTGCGGGGTCTGCTGGCTTCCAGGGGTGCCCGGAAGGCCGTCAGGGAGCTCCTTCTGACCGTCGGCTGGCTTCCAGGGGTGCCCTGCTGCTGCTGCTGCTGCTCCAGGGCTGCCAGATGGTGCTGCTGCTGCTGCTGCTGCTGCTGCTGCTGGAGCAAGGGTACCTCCTTCTTGCGGGGTCTGCTGGCTTCCAGGGGTGCCCTGCTGCTGGTGCTGCTCCTGTAGCTGCTGCTGCTGCTGCTGCTGCTGCTGCTGCTGCTGCTGCTGCTGCTGCTGCTGCTGCTGCTGCCGCTGCAGCTGCTGCTGCCGCTGCTGCCGCTGCTGCCGCGGGGGGGCGCCGAGGGCGGCGGCGGCGGCCGCCGCAGCCGCCGCGCCAGCGGCCGCGACGCAGGCGGCCGCGGGAGCGGCCGCAGCGGCGCGGCCACCGTGCCCTCCGCCGCCGCCGCCGCCGCCCGCGCGGAGAGCGGCAAGCCGGCGCGGCGGCGGCAGGGGCCCGAGGTGGCGCCGCCCTCGGGCGCCGGCGCGGCCGCAGCGGCCGAGGCGCCGCCCGACGCGGCCGCCGCCGACGCGGAGCTGCCCGCGGCCGCCGCAGGGAGGGCAGCCGCGGCAGCAGGGGGCGCGGCCGCGCGCGCGGCCAGCAGGGCCGCCCGGGCCGCAGCGGCGACGGCCAGCCAGAGGCCAGCGGCCGCCGCGGCCTCCGCAGCGCCCAGGGCCGCGCCGCAGGCGGCCGCGGGCGGCGCCGGGCAGCGGCAGGCGGGGGGCCGCGCCCAGGGCCGCGCGCCGGCGGCGGCGGCGGGCGGCCGCCGCAGCGCGGGGGGGCGTCGGCGGCGCCAGCGGCGGCCGCGGCGCTCGGGGCGCAAGCGGCAGCGGCAGGCGCGGGGCGGCGCAGGCCACCGCGCGCACCGGCCGCCGCCGCCGCCATTGGCGGTCCTCAGCGGGAAGCGCAGCGCAGCAGCACGGCCCGCCGCGAAGGCAGCCGCGGCGGCCGCCCACGGCGTCGCTGGCCGCCGCGCCGCCGGAGGGGAGCCAGCGGCGGAGGCCTCGGCGGAGGCGGCGGCGGCGGTGGCAGCGGCGGTGGCCGCGGCGCCGGCGGCCGCGCGGGCGGGCCGCAGCGCCGCCGCCCCGCGCCCGCCGGGCGGCGGCGCCCGGCCGCCGCGGCAGGGGGCGGCGGGGGGGGCGCGAGCCGCCGGCAGGCCCCGCCGTCGCCGCCGGCACCGGCGCCAGCGCAGCGGCCCGGCGCCCGCAGAGCAGGGGAAGCCGCCGGGCTGCCGCGGCAGCGCTGGCCGCCGCGGCGGGGGCAGCGGCACCCGCCGCGGCGCCGGGCCCACGGCGGGCCAGCGACACGGGCCGCGACGCCCGGCCCGGCGCAGCCACGCCACGGCCATGGCGGCCCGACGCCAGCCGCGCGGGCCCAGCGCCGGCGGCCCGCGGCGGGCCTGCCGGGGGGCGGCGCCGGCGGCCAGCCAGGGGGCGCCGCCGGCGCGGCAGCGGGGCCAGCGGCAGGGGCGGCAGCAGCCCGGCGCTGCCGCCGCCGCCGAGCCGCAGGGGACAGGATCGCCCGGGGTCGGCGGCCGAGAGGGGGGGGAGACGAGACCCCCCCGTCGAAGCCGCCGCCGGAAGCCAGCGGGCGCGCCCGCCAGGCCGCAGGACCCAGGCCGCGCAAGCCACCTCGAGCCGAGACGGCTTGAGCCAGAGGCTACAGAAAAAACTGGTGGGGATACTTTTTGACCTGCGGCTCCAAGGACGATTCCAGAGAGCGGGTTGAAACTGGTGGGGGGACGCGACGCGTCAAGAAATTCTTTTTGGCTTGCGCCGCGTAAAGGATGTTGGCGCCCAGATCAATGTGTGCAGGGCGTGATTATACGTAGCTTCCTCTGGAGGTCATATGAGTTGCAAACCGCCTCTGAGACATGTTTCTATTCTCGTGTGTGCATTACGCACCAGCAATTTAGCCAGGGAGTGTTTACGCCTTGGGACAATCGTGCAACGGTCGAAAGGGAATTAGTTGAATGCTCATGGCAGAATGAATTCCCTCGTCAGTCTGTATGGGTCGAGAAAAGGCGCTGGAGGTCCCATAGCATTCGGCCCGGAATCGGCGCAATTGCGACACACATCGGCATAGATTCCCCCATCTTCTTGCAGGCTTGCCGACCAGGATGGTTACTCGTTTACATCCTTTTTGCCGTCCCCTTTCATATTTTCTTCCATCTCCCCCGATGTCCCCATTATTGTGTCAAGCGCTCTATCCCCATCCCCTGTGCTCACTTGTTCCGGCTTCTTCCTGTATTCTGGTGTCGTCATATATAAAATGAATATAAATCTGCGTGTGTGTGTTATTCTCCATCTTTCTCTTTCTCTTTCTCTCTCTCTCTCTCTCTCTCTCTCTCTTTTCCTTTGCTCCAGAAATATTACATTATATTCCGTTCTATTGGACCCTTCTCACGTGTGCCCTCATTTCTTGTTGTATTGGTCGAAATTTCGGGCAGAGTCCTTCAAGCGTTATTCTCTCCACCTCGTCATACTGTGCACTTGCTCCAACGAGTCCCACCCTGTCAGGTGTGCAGTTCTTGAAAGAGACGGTGCACGAACTATGCGCTGGGTCTGGCACGGAGACAGGACATCTTGCTTGCGGGCGGCTATATAGTGCTCTCCTCGCTTTGTTTGAAATGAACAAGCCAGCCTAGAAGCTCACATGCTTTGACACCAGCAAGACCGAAAACCGTTACGCACATTTGCAAACATTGACAAGTAACGTTGGACACCCCACGTGTACCTCAAATGCGTTGCGTCGCTCAGACGGGCATCAACGAAGCATGCTCATATTTCATGTCAGGACGCGCATAGTCTTGCCAAGTTGTTTCTCTAACCATTTACCAGAATGTTGCAACCCCGTGATTTGCTACTTCCAATTCTCCAAGTATTGACAGCATGGTGATGTGATCTGAACTGCCCAGGCCGAGTCGGCGCGCACGTGCCAGAAAGGCACGCTGTATCCATACTTACCGGACGACGGTTCGCGCACAGATCTTTTCGCACAAGAAGGACAGTTGAATACCGGCATTATAACGTAACGAAATTGTCAAAATATCAATTCGTTGAGATTTCAGCCGATGGACGCAGCAAAATTATGTTCGGCGATGGGCACGGCCCCAGGGCACGTTCCCAACGACGGATCAGGATTCACGCATTCCGCACCTACGAACGAGATTTTCGGCTGCACACGGGTAATCACGCTGACTTCTGTGATTTCTTCAGACATGTGCGCGTCCGGCTGTTCAACAACAAATGATGGCTGGCGCAATTGCACGAGCAAGCGAGACAGATCTCCAGCCGCAGTTAGCATGAGCTGGTCGTTGTCCAGCGATTGCCCCGTGGTTGTTTCGCTATTGTCTCATGGTTATGCTGTGGTTTCGCCGCGTCGTTGCCTCACAATTCCTGGTGTTACGAGGATGTCCCATGTTTTGTTTACGGTGGTAATCCCTCACATGACATGTGGTTTATCTGTGATTCTGTTATGAGTATCCCGTTATAGTGCGAGATAGCCAAATGGATAGGCACCATTTGACAACCGCAAGACACTTACGAAATAATCCACATGACAACCGCGGCATGACTACGGGACAACCACGTGACAATCTCCCGCCCAACGTCCCCACACGGGATTAGAGACCTGTTTGTCGAATTGTCCCGCTCGCCCCCGCACCTTCACGACGCCCGCGATGACGGCACCACGTGGACAAAACCGACATATATTTTTGTTGTTGTGTCCATTCCGCTCACACACTTGGAGTTAAAATGCGCACTTTTTTGGGCGTCGTTGCCACGCGCGTTGAAAGGAGGCGATGTCAGGCTAGCGGCCAGGGGCAGTGTGCGCGAGAGCCTGGTTCAGATGGATCCGCCGATGGCCTCCACAAAGTTTCCACGGGGGCGGTCCGGGAAGCTTCTTGGGAGCGTCTAGAGGTTTGATGAGGGCGTCTTGGTTCGTCGCTTGGGGTTTACAGGAGACCCAGGCTGCACGCCCCAAGGGCGTTCTGAAGCGCCCGAAAATCTGATGCGATGGGGGTTGGGCTTCGACGTGCGCGAGCCTCGGTGGCGGAATCCAGTAACACTCTGGCGACTCAGATTTCACCTTTCGGGCGAAGAACGAAGCAGCTGAGGGACAACCATTGCGGAACAACCACGTCCCCCGCCGAAGAAGAAATGTGGGTGTCAAAGTTGCCATTGCTTGCGGAGGGTCGTCGACCCACGTCGTTCGCGCAGTCTCGCCTCACCGACGGGCTCGACACAAGACGAACCGAAGCGCAAGTGAAGCCGTTCTTCAAGTGGGTGAGGCCGATCTTAGCGTAATATGTCGAACGCTCTTGACTAGTCAGTGCTTAAGCATGTATTATGTTTCCTGCTGCTTATAGGTAGTCAAACTGTTTTTACTCCTCCATCCGTGAAGAGTTCTTTTGCTTTGACTAACTGTTGTCAGAGGCTGGGTGGTGAGATCTGCATGACACGGAGTCGCCCAAACAAGAAGTCGTTTTCGTTTCGTATCGTGCACGTGTGCGAGGCGAAGTTGCGTGAGGGCGAGAGAGATAGCGGCCGTGTCAGGGCGGGAGCCTAACATCCTTAAAAAAAATTAGGGGTATTGAATGATGTGGGTCTCGTCGGGCCTTCCTGGAGGCCCTCTTGCGGGCCTCTTAGGCCGTCTTGGAGGCATCTTGGGGGCCTTTTGGGCCGTCTGCCGTCATCTTGAGGCCATCTTCGGCCGTCTGAGAGGCGTCTTGGGCGGACTTGGAGGCATCTTGGACCTTCTTCGGCCATCTTGGAGGCCATGTTGGTCCACCTTGGGCGAATTTGGAGGCCATCTTGAGCCATCTGAGCCGTCTTGGAGGCCGTCTTGGAGACGATTGGGAGTTTTTTGTCTGCGAATTGTGCGCCTTTCTGCGTGGCCGGCGGGACGCGCCGAAACCCCAGGGAAGAGTCCTGTTTGAGAAAGAAAAAATGATACTGGAGAAAAAACCCAAAGGGAATCTTTCTAGGGCTATAAAGCTATGGGGCTATAGGGCTATAAGGCACTGGGGCTATAGGGCCATAGGGCTATAGGGCTATAGGGCTATAGGGTTATAGGGCTGTAGGGCTATAGAGCTATAGGGTTATAGGGCTGTAGGGCTAGAGGGCTATAGGGCTATAAGGCTGTAAGGCTGTAAGGCTATAAGGATATTGGGCTGAAGGGCTATGGGGCCATAGGGCTAGGGTTATAGGGCTATTAGGGCTATAGAACTATAGGGCTATAGGGCTAGAAGCCTATAGGGCTACAGGACTTCGGGCACCTGGGCACCCAGGCACACGGGCACCCGGGCACCCAGGCGTGCCGCCGAAATCGGTGCCAAGCCTCATCTAACCATCTGATACCGCTAGGGCCCCTACAGAGGCAAGCTCTGATTGGGGGACAAAACAACAAACAAACAAAAAAGTAGGCTTCAGCACGGCAGGCACCCCTGTGGCAAGACCACAGGGGACGGTGGATCGAGCGTCTTTCAGCCCATGCGTACCCATTTTGCCTCAAGTGTTTGGCGCCTGCATACCTTTCCCACAGCCCTCGCCTCGCATTTCCAGTCATAGTGGGTCCCTGCTGGTGGCGTTGGCCAGCGCCCTCCCGCAGCAGGAAGCGGCGCCCTGGCGTCGCGCGCGCAGGCTGCCACCGGAGCGCCTGAGCTCGGGCGACACCGCGATCTCCACCTGGGTGCCGGACGGCCGGGCTGCCTTTCCCTATTGCCGCGCTGAGCATCTATGAGACCCCCGCAGGGCCTGGTGCAACTCATGCGCATGGTCGAGCTCTTGCGCCGGCGCCTGGAACCGTGCACGGACGAGGGTACGCGCTTGGAGATCCGCCAGCAGATCAGATCGAGCAGTTCGATCGTCAGAGGGAGCTGATGACGCGCAGCTCGGTTCCACCTTCCCCGTCAACGCCGCGATCGCGATCCACGGGGAGGACGGCACGTCCGAGGGAGCCGATGACACGCAGCTCCACTCCACCTTTACCGTCGAGACCCCGTTCGACCTCCACGAGGAGAACAGGAACACGCCCTCCCTGGAGCCATGACGTCGACAGGCGCTCCCGTGGAGGCCCTTTCACTCCCCCCAGTGCCGGGAGTGCTGCGCGCGAGCCTCCAGACCAGCCAGGCTGCGCAGAATGCCGCCCTGACAGCCACTCGCGTGGCAGAGACGGCGACGCAAGCGGCGGCGAAGGCGACTGCGGCGCCCTGCCCGGCGGCGCCGCAGGTCCGGCCCATTGCGGCGCTTCGGCTGCAGGGCCCACACCCCCAAGCACGCCATCTCGGGGCAACCGGAACATAGTAATCCCACCAGGCCTTCAGGGCGCGAGTGGTCTAGAGCGTGTCTTCTCCAACCCTTTTCTTTCACCGTCGGGGATGGGCTTCGCGGCTCGTTGGAACGCCCAAGATGGCCTCGGCGAAAAAGCAAAAACAAAAATCCTGGCGAAGGTCCCAACCATATGCGGTTGTGGGTCCCAAAATTGTGAATATCTGCTTCGGTGAAGCTCCCTATGGGGCCACGAAGCGCTGCACGGAACGCTGCACTGTGTGGGTAGTGTGCCGAATTGGGTTTCCGGGGCGCACGCGGACGATCCCATTAAGGGCTTCGGTGGAGCTCCTTATGGGGCCACGAAGCGCTCTACTGAGTGAGTGAAAGTGCCAAATTGGGTTTCCGGGACGCACGCGGACGGTCCCACTGGGGGCTTCTGTGGAGCCCCATTTATGGGGCCACGAAACGCTCACCCTTGGCACCACCTCGCGCAGCTCGGCAGTTTAGGCAGCTTAGGCAGCTTAGGTTCGGCTGTCGGTCCCCGTGCGCTAGGCAATTAGGGTCGCGCGTAGCCCGCCCGACCTCTGACGCCGCTGGCGCGCTCGCCTGCGGCCGCGACCAAAAAAAAAATATCCCCACCAGCCCATGCATAATTGATTGCCAGTTTTCTGGAGGCTTCTTGGAGGTTATCTTGAGCCATGCTCGGCTAGAGGCTGTCGGAGGCTATATTGAGCGCTATCTTGAGCCACGCTCGGCTATCTTCGGCCATATTGAGGCTGCCTTGAGGCCTCTTGGAGGAGCTATCTTGAGCCATGCTTGGCTATCTTAGGCCATTTGGGAGGCCATCTTGGGCTGTCTGAGGTTCTCTTGGAGCCATTTTGGGCCAAAAAGGATGGGGTGGAGGGTCTTTGGGAGAGGCTGGGAGGCCTCTTGGGGCCATCTTGGGCACCATGGCTCAAAAAGAGAGCAGGGAAATTCGACCCCCCCCCTCAGAGGCTCTCAAATTGCATATTGAGACCCTCTTGGAGCGCTCTTGGGCGCCTCTTGGGCGATCTTGGGGCCTTCTTCGGCCTTCTTGAGCCGTCTTCGGCCATCTTGGGGGAAGGCGAGAATGCCAAAAACATGGATTATCCCTAAGTTGTTGAACGGTTCTGGCATCTTCGAGGGCGCCGTGGAGGACTCGAAGGGCAGTTAGATCCGTCTTGGGGCTGTGTTGGTGCCTCTTGGGGGTATGTCGGAGCTATCTTGACCCATCTTGAAGTAGCATGGACCATCAAGGAGGCCATGTTGCGACTTCGAAGCCC